TGGATTATTGCATAGATGTGCTGGCTCTACTGACTGTATCCATATGAAAAATATATTCTATAGAAAAATAAATTCAAGATAGATGAAGGAATTATGTAAAACTAAAACAAAATATATATTTTGCATATGTACAAGCTAGGGGAAAAGGTATCGCTAACCAAGATTTTATACCCAGGGACTATAGACCAAAAGATAGATGTATTGGACATATAAAAGTTAAATATTTCAATGGTAAAGAACCATGACAAAAATTAATTACAAAATGACAGTTCTGGTAAAGTTATGATATAATTAACAGGTACCCAGGTAACATTTGTACTTTTCAAAGAGTCTTTAAAAATTGATGAGAAAAGATGAAAAATATAATTTTTTAAAGTGATTAAAATGTATTAATAGATAGCTTGCTACAGAGCCAACCCCAAACATTAGCAAACATATAAAGGCTCAGATACATTAGTACTCAGTGATATGTAATTTAAAGCAATTATGAGCTATGACTTGACACACATCACTCTGGCACCTGTTGCTGGATATGATTTAAAGACAAAGGCATTCCCATATATTACTGATGGTATGCATAGAGCTACAGCCTCATTTGGAAAGCAATTTGGCAACATGTATTTTTTAAACATTTTAATGCATGATCCCTTTACCTACCAAACACTTTGAGACTCTGATTCATACAAAGTATATCACATTCATATAACAATGTTTATTGCAGCATGATTTGTAGTGGCAGAAAACTGGAAACAGTAAATAGTCATTAACAGGAAAACATTTGAATAAATTGTGGTACATTTATGTCATAGAGTATTATAGAATTATTGAAGAGAATAAATTAGAACTATATCAGGTAATCCAAATTGATTTATAGAAGCTAATGTTGAGGGAGAAAATTAAAATATAAAAAAAATGTATATAATATAACCAATTAACAATTTTGTTTCTTTATTGACTTTTAGTGAGAGAGAAAGGAAGAGGGAGAGAGCGAGAGAAACATGGATGAGTGAGAACATCAATTGGCCACTTCCTGCATGACCCTCACTGGGGATTTGGCCCATAACCTGGGCTCGTGCCCTGACCAGGAATCTAACCAGCGACCTCTTGGTGCCTGGGTTGATGATCAACCATTGAGCTACACTGGCTGGGCAATATAACCAATTTTTAAAGCAAACAGAAAACAGAATCCATACTGTGTGTGTGTGTGTGTGTGTGTGTGTGTGTGTGTGTATTCAGTTATGATTATATGAATTTGGAGGGAAAAAATTGGAAAGATACATACAAAGTTTATCAAAAAAATCTGGCATCCAGTGAAGTGAGGGAAGAAGAGTATGTTTTACTGTCATTGCCATCTGTTACATTATATATTTTTTTATATTTAACAATTATATGTATGAAATATTTTACATATTTTATAAACTTATATGTATTTAGCATATAGATGCGTTTATATTTATAAAGTTTACAGTCATAAAATATATGTACAAATATATTAATATACTATATTACACACATTTACAGATATATACATTATATATATATCCTTGAGCATATATCAGATATTTCATTTAAAATATTTTAAGTCTGTACTAAAATATGTTTTACATAATCACATTTAGAAATTTATGTAAAATTGTTTGTATTTCAGGGAATTTTTTAATTTAAAAAACAAGTACAAGATTGAAGATAGGTTTAGACTGACAAACCTCAGAGGAGGGGGACCGGGGGGGTGGTGGAGGATGAGATTAAACCAAAGAATTTATATGCACATATGCATAACCAATGGACATAGACAACAATGCTGGGCGGAGGGGGAGGGGTGCGACGAGATCGGGAGTAGGGTGTCTAGGAGGGGAAAAGGAGAAACATCTGTAACAAAAATAAATTAATAAAAATTGCAAAAAAATATATAGATTAAAGATAGGAAAACCAGCTAGCTAACTACTACCATAGTACATAAATGAAATTGAGCTAGGATCATGACTATTGATAATTGTAGGATCAGGCAGAAACAGAAGTGATTTAACAAGAATAAAAATGAAAATATAAAAATAAAGAAGAGAGGAGGGATGGAGGAAAGATTCTCTATTCTGTTTCATTGGTCTGTTTGTCTACACTTGAACCAATACAATATTGCCTAAATTATTGACATTTTATACTAAGTATTGTACTGAAAATACTAATACTGAAGGTTCTTCAACTTGCCTCTGCGATTATCTTGGATGTGGTAGGGCCTTGGTATTCCCATATTGATATTAAAGTCAACCTGTTAATTTCCACACTCACACACATACAACCTGCTGAGATGCTGAATGAGTTTTCTTTCAACTATATATTGTTTGGAAAGATTTATCTGTCAGATTTTTGGTATCAGAGTTATGCTGGGCTCATAAAATGAAAACTGTGATTCCTTTTTCTGTTCTCCAAAGGAGTATGTGTAATATTTAAATTATTTCTTCCCTTAATGTTTTTAAGAGCTCACCAGAAAAGCTGATAGAATCTGAAGGTTTCTTTGTTAAAGATTTTTAATTATGGGTTTAATTAGTTGTGTGTTTTTTTTTTATTATTATTGCTTTCTTTTGTGTTTCTCTTCAAAATTTGGAAAATTTTTGTTCCTGTGGTTATATTCATAAAATTAAGTTATCTATTTTCTCCCCTCAGTATCTACTGATTTCCTTCTCTGGGATGGCAGAATTAATATATTTCCACTACTTCAGTCCCTGTGATTCTCTGACTTAAATGAATAACATTATTTTTCTTAGTGTTTACCTTGGTTTTATTAATAGGCTAGTCTTTGTTACTTAATTGGTTTAAAGGAGATCTTTAAATACCTCATCACATGTGATAAAGGAATTCTTGCATTCATATTGCCACTCTCTTTTTCTCTGCCTTCTCCTTCCAATTTTTGCTAGGTAGGTAATGTCAACATTTTTCAATATTATAATATTTACATTTTGTTCTAGCAACAATACCCAATTTTTATTTTTCTTTGTAGTCCTTCAGCTAGATGGAATCTGTGTTCCGTCCTTTGCCACAGTTTCTGTATTATTTTTTTGTTTGGCTGATGCTTGTCTTCTAGTTTTCTTCTCAAAAAGTTCATGAATCTTAGCTCAGTTTGTTACAGCATTATCCCGATACACCAAGGTTGTGGGTTTGATCTCCAGTCAGGATACATACAAGGAGCAACCAACAAATGCATAAACAAATGGAACAACAAAAATTGATATTTCTCTCTCTCTTCCCCTCTCTAAAATCAATTAAAAATTTTTTTTTAAAACTTCATGAAAAATATATATGCAGATTATGTGGGGAGCCCCTCAAATTTTTTTCCTTCATACTTTAGTGACAATTTAGTTGGGTTTATAGTTCTTTGGGCAGTCTTTGTTTTCTTAAGGTCATTTTAGCCTTTGGTCTACTAATATTATTGAGTTACCTGTGGAGTTATCTATAATCAGCCTAAAAACCTTTACAGCCTGGCAGATGTGGCTCACTGTTTGAGTGTTGACCCATGCACCAAGAGGTTGCCAGTTCAATTCCCGGTCAGGGCACATGCCCAGATTGTGGGCCTGATCTCCAGTGGGGGAGGGGGGGTCATTTAAGGAGCAGCCAATTGATGTTCTCTCTCATCAACATTTTTATCTCTCTCCTTATCTCTCTCTCTTTCTCCTTTCTTCTCTAAAATCAATCAATAAAATTATTTTTTAAAAAAACCTTTTCATAGTAGACTGATACTTTTCTTCACTTTAAAGATAGAATTAATGCAAAGAAAATAATCAAATGTGTTATGCATATTGTTAATTTTGCTGAGTTAATTTAAGGGCGTAGCTTAAGAGCTGGTCACCTGTGGAGAAATTTTTTTTAGATTTAATTTGGGTAGGTAGTCTCCTTCCTTGTAGTTGGAGTCGACGCATAAAATATACCTCAAACTATGTCTTTTAGAGGAAAGATTATTTATTGGGGCATTAGAAGACTTGAAAAGGAATTGTTCACTATTGAAATTTTGCTGCTACAAGATTAAAAGTATTTAGCCTGAGTTTTGTTGTGTGGGATGGTTTTGGAATCTTTAGCTTAATGGTTCCACTTGTTTAAGTTAGCCACTTGTTTAAGTTAGCCAGTTTTTTACTTTATAGTGGAAGAGACTAAAAGTTAATGGAGAGTGACTAATGCCAAACACAGAGGCATTATGATCATTTTCTACCCTTTCTTCTGAATAGAAACACCCGCTCTGCCATCCAGAGGTCTATGGTCCACTGGTGCGTTCAGTGCCATTAGAGGAGGAGACAAGGATGAGGGAAGACTCAGAGACTTTGCATTTAAGGTCCATCAGAGACAGAGGTTAATAAAAAAAAAAAAAAAAACAACTAGGACCACTTGAAAATTATCATAGCAAGTTGAAAGTAGAGATAAGAATCCTGCAAACTGAGTTCCCTTCATTGTTACTGAACATCTTCAGAACTCCTTTAAACATTTATTTCTTTGTCCACAAAACTAAAAAATTCTCTTATTTCAAAAACTTTACTCAGAAAAGTGTCTCTCCTTGGTGTCTTTGAAAGTTTAGGCCATTTTAAAATGCATATTATTAATTTTACTGTGTTAATAGTCGTTATGGTTCAGTAGTGTGTATTATATATATCAGGGGACACCTTAAAAAGCATATTATCATAAAATGCATATTTAAAGGCTTTCCACCTTCATAAATTGAATTTAATAGATTATAATAACTCTAGTGGTTCCATTAGGATCTTTGGAAAACCGTTCAGAGCCTTGTTAAAGCATACATTCTCTTCATGTCATATTCCACTTAGAGAGTTTGCACTAGTAACCTAGAGCTTGAGTATGTTTGGTTTGCTTAGTTTAGAAAAATAAAAATGGAGAAGTAATTTTTTCCAGTAAGATAGTCTACTAAGGCAGAAAGAAAGCAACTTTTATAATTAATTATATTGTTTTTAGTTTCAAATACTATACATAGAAAAGTGTTATTTAAAAACAGTATCTGTCATGCAGACTCACTCTGCTTCTGGATACAGTCCCAGGCAGATACTTGTTTTGTCTGCCATAGAAACATTCCAGGGTACTGTGACTACCTTGACCTATTAAGGGTGATGCAGCTGCCAGGGGACAAGGTAATAGGTAAATCAATCAATCAATCAATCAATCAATCAATCTTGTCTGTAAAAGTGTAATGATACAGATTACTATGTGTAAAAATAATCCTCCTTTTGTCAGAAAAGTGAGGGTATGTATTTTAGTTTAAACTGAGGTTATTAATTGCTATTTATCAATGATATGCTTTAATGAAATGCATAGAGTATAAGTTATATCCAGTGTTTTTCCATAATGTGGTCTACAGACCACCTACCTCAGAATCTCCTGGGTGCTTAAAAATGCCTATTCCTCCTGAGTCCTGGATCTATTGGAGAGGCAGTCTAGGCATGTGCTGTGAAATGTGCATTTTAATGAACTCCCTTAGAGAGTCTTGCACAGCTGAAATTTGAAAGAAGAGGTTATTTTAATCTACAAGCCCAACCACATAATGTAGTCAACACCTGGAGTCCTATCTAGACTGATCCCTGCTGCCTGGGTGTCTATTAACTCCTTGAACTTTCTTCAAGGAACTTACTTAAAACCAGTCCTGATCTATACTAGCCACTTTGGATTTACATAAGAAGCCACTGAACTTTGTGGCCCTAGTGCCAAGCCACTCAGCTCTAACTTTGTAGTAGCTGTTAGGAAATGTGCAGAGTACAGATTTGAGCACAGTCGTTCATTAGAAATCCTATCCACCACTAGGACTTTGGGTATTTTTTGAAAATCACTGTGGTGATTCAAAATCAAAAGGCATCATCCCAGAGGTGTCCACTGAAGGCCTATGGATTTTCAGTGATTCTAACTGACTCATCTAAATGCACCACTGGCTATACCAACACAAAACACAATAAAACAAGAACACTTTGTCATATGATTTCATTCTATAGTCTTCCTTTAAAATGGAATTATTGGCTAACAACCGTATCTCTAAATTTCCCTCCATTTTCTCTCATTTTAGAAAAATAAACAATAGCACCATTTGCACTTGTCTGTGGCCCCGATACAAGGCTACATTGAAGGAAAAAATCTTCATTTGCTACTGAAAAGCATCAACTATGATTGTTGACATACATTTAAAACAAATCTCACACTACTGGCTTAACGTCCCTGAAAGAATTGCCTGGTTACTGGTTTTACAAAAAGCAAATCATCTATGTGCTTATGAGCTTGTGAAGTTTTCTGAAAGTCAGAAACATGAGGTCTGCCATTTGCATTATAGCTCCTCCATTTAAGGGCTTCTAAGACTTGGATCTAACAAAAGGCCTCCCAGCTGTGTTTAAGTGCCCTGTGGGGTTGGTTCTTGATTGTGGATAAGGATTCCCAGCTGTGCTTACTTAGGAGGTCTCTGATTAATATTCTTCCTTCTATAGAGAACCCCTACTGAATGGAGTTGTTAATATTAAAGTGCCCTATAAAACCCAGTCAGATAGTGGGCTTTCTCAGCCCACGGTTTCAGTACATGGTAAATATGAAATGTTTGAAATTACGTATGAAAAATCGAGTTTGAACATGGGAGGAATAAAGTGAGTATGTAAAAAAAGATAATTATTTGGATCCTTAAAGCTTTAGACTAAATATTCTAACTCATATGGGTTCTGGAAAAGACTCTGAAATGGTTTACTATTGGCCTTGCTGTGAGAAGCAGATCATTATTTTAGTTTTTAAAGAAAATTTTAAGCTTAAATTAGAAGTTATTTAAATGTGCAAAAGTGCAGCATTGTTACAGTTTTTTTTTCCCCCATTCCTGTAGTTTCATTCTTAATTTACTGCAGCCATAATTATGAGTGGTTTATTGTGTTAGAGGCAGGTAAAAACTTACACATCATTTCCTCTACTTCTCATATTGGCTAGACTTGACTAACAATTCAATAGTGAATCATGACACTATCACTATTGAGAAATATAGGCCAGGAAATAAAGATGCCTCAGCCTAAGATAGAATTACGTGTCTGAATTATCTGAAAAGGGTCGTTAGTCCTCCACGACAAGTTTGCTTTTGAGATTTGGCCTACCCCAATCAGTTAGTTCCCAGATGAGACAGTAAGAAAACAAACCATCCTAGCTACCAATATATAAATGACGTCCTGGGATCATTTTGGAGATCAAAACACAGCTATGAAAATATTCCTAACCCCTCATATTTCTTCATGAATCAGACAAGAGAATTTACTGAGTTCTGTGCTAGAGGAATAGAAAATAATAGAAAACAACACTCATGTGTTAAGAAACTCGTAATACTGTTGGAGACTCAAACCAAATTACCTTCCCTTTTTCTTTCAGCAGTCTCATCTTGCCTAATTCGTTCAACTGTCACCTCTCAGAAGGATGATTCCCAAATCTACATCCTATACCTGAGTCCTCTCCTGGTTTGGGTCCACTTTACCCCATCTTCTTGGATGTCTTGTTTATTTCATTTATTTCAGTATGTTAAAAGCAAAATCCTTCCTCCTTTCTCTCATATCTGGTTCTGTTTCTGCATTTGCTCTTTTCTGTTTGTGGGAATAATATCACCATAGCCCCAAGCTTTGTCTAGACCTCAAACTTGACATTTTTGTTAACTCTTATTTTTCTCTGTCTCTTGCTTCTGTAGCATCTAATTTCTCACAGTTGTCCTTCTTTTTCATTCCCACGCCATTCCCTGAATTCCATCCCTCTCTGCTTTTGCCTAAACTGTTGGAGTAGCCTCCTAACTCAATTCCTACTTCTAATTTTGACCCTCCCAGGAATTCGTCCTACAGGTTAAGCTCCAGTAATCTCCAGAAAGTATAGCGTCAATCTTCCACCCACTTAGTGCCTCCCCAATGGTTATGGGAGGCTGTCCTGACACCGCCAACTCGTCCTTCATGGTCTTCACTATCTAATCTTGTCTCACTTTCCAACTTCATTTCACAGCATTTCTCTCGTTTAGAATCAGAGTTTAACTCAAACCAAGTAATTTGCTGGTTCTTATATTTGTGCCTTTACTTTTACCTTTCCCTTGTTCTGGAGTAGCCTTCCCTCATTTCTTTTGATCTAGATCCTGCCTAAAAAATGGAAACTTGCCCAATAATTAGGTACATAATTTAAATATAGAGTAAAGTTTAAGAGCCTGAGCCATAGAACAGAACTGTCTGGGACCAAAGCCTGGCTCTGCCACTTATGAGCAATGTCAAGATACTCTACCTTCTCAACCTCCATTTCCTCATCTAGAAAATGCAGGAAATAATAATACCTAACCCATGATGCTGTGGTGAGGGAAATGGATCAAAGCTCTGAGACTAGTGTTTCATGCATATAAGATCTCATTTTAATGCTAGATATTCATTGTGAACAAATAACTTTTGTCTTCATTTCTGGGGCTTTACCCTTTAAGCAAGTTTTTATTTAGGTATTAAAAAGTTTAATTATAAATATGTATAAATAACATATCTCTTAATTTGTGGGCATGAAAAATATTATTCATTTATCTTTATACAAAATAATGAACCTATAGCCCTAATCGGTTTGGCTCAACAGTTAGAGCATTGGCCTAAAGACCCAAGAGTTGGGAGTTCAATTTCCGGTCAAGGGCACACACCTGGGTTGCACGTTCAATTCCTGGCCCTGGTTGGGGTCAGGTGGGAGGCAAACAAATCTATGTGTCTCTCTTGCATCAATTCTCTCTCTCTCTCTCTCTCTCTCTCTCTCTCTCTCCCTCCCCCCACCTCCCTCTCCCCCTGTCCTTCCTCCCTCCCACTCTCTCTAAAAAACAATGGAAAAATATCTTCAGATGAGGATTGAAAAAAAAATGAACCCATAGTCAGGCATATTAAAGAAGTTATTAAAGACAATTTCAAACAAACAGAAGTATATAGAGTAGGATAATGAATCCCTGTGTATACATCAGCTTGCTTCAACTTATGGCCAATCTAATTTCAGCTAGACCCCTTCCTTTATGGCTTTGGGGCAATCCCAGACAGCATATCCTTCATCTATAAACAGTTCGATATGTGTCTCTAAATGGTAAGAACTTTTTCTTGTATAACCTCTATACCATTATCACACTTAAAAATTTTAACGGTAATTATTTTTAGGCTTCTTAAAATGTTTAATTTAATTTATTAAAGTGACACTGGTTAATAAAATTATACGGATTTTAGGTATACAATTCTACAGTGCATTATCTGTATATTGCATTGTGTGTTCACCACCCCAAGTCAAATCTCCTTCCATCCCCATTTACCTTCTTCTACCTTCCCCCACTCCCCTTCCCTCTTTAACAGTAATCTCTTAATGTCATTAAATAGTCATTTGGTGGTTAGATTTCTAATAGTATAATAAAAATAGTTAATGTTTTAGACAATTTGCTTTAGTCAGGATCCAAATAAAGCCTCACACATTCCAGTTGGTTCCTGTGCTTTTAAGTGTCTGTTAATCTGTAATATTCCCTTCTATCTCTGTTGTTCTGTTGTTTGTTTTCATTATATTATTTGTTAAGGAAGCAGGGTTGTTTATCTTGAAAGATTTCTCAATCTGGATTTGATTACATATCCATGGTATAATTTAATATGCTCCTTTCATCTCTGTGTTTCCTTTAAGTGAGTAGTTAGATTGGATTTAAGTATGATGTTTTTGGCAAGACTACTTCATAAGAGGTATGACGTTCCTCTATCATAAGTGACCTAATGTTGGAAAATCTCTTTTTATAATGATAGCAGCCATTGATCATCATCAATACCTACATTTATTAACTCATTTAGGGTTGCAAAATGGTGATATTTTAATTTTATAAGTTTATCATTTTTCTACATTTATTAGCTGGAGTGTTTCTAGAGGAGGAACTTTCCCTTATCCACTCTCAAATTACCCAATGGCTTGATCCACAAATAAGTCCTGCTAAATACTTGATTCTTTTCAAAATAATGAGTTGATTTTCTAGTATTTTTCATTGGTTACCAGTTATGTTTTATTCCCTTTGTGTATGTGTTGTTGTTTTTTAAGTATTATGAACCTGTTTAAATTCATTGTAATTTTTCTATTTGATTCTCAAATTGTCCCATTCGTGGTCAGTAGGAACTTC